CCAGTGTGAACCCGACCCCTAGCAACAACAACAACAACTTGCATTTCCGCCCCTCACTCAGGATAGCGTCCCAGAGCGCTTGACAGTGGCGGTCGAAGAGGAACGTGTTCAGGCACGACCTGAAGGTGGGGAAGGAGGGGTCAAGGTGGAGGGATTGAGGGAGAGAGATCCAGAGTTTCAGGGTGTAGCGGCTGAAAGTGCGGCCACTGATGGTGGAACAGAGGGGACGAGCGACCAGCAGGAGGTCAGAGCCAGTCGAGCAGAGGCAGCGGATAGTGGGTTGGGGAGTAAGCAGGTCGGAGAAATTAATCCGTCGGTGATAGGGAGCCAGTGGAGTGGGCGAGGGCTGGTGTGATGGGGTACGGGGTTCAGTGTGTGTAATAGGGAGCCAGTGGAGCCTGGTTAGAGCTGGTGATGGGTACGTGTTAGATTTTATGTTGTTTCACTGTGATAATTATAATAATAATATTCCTTGCATTTGATATAGCGCCTTATCACACCTTCGAGTCGTCTCAAAGCGCTTCACAGGATTGACTGTAAAGTGAATTGACTGTATGTTTTGTGGGCGAAACGCAGCAGCCAATTGTGCACAGCAGCGTCCCCACAAACAGTCGTGGATTGAAGTGAAAAATGTATTATTATTAATTTTTGAATGAATTATTACCCCGGAAAAGCAATCCGCCAATCGACTAACAACCAGGTTCCTACTTACTGCTCAGTACACAGTGGATTGTGGAGTAAGGAAACTTGCTCAACATTCCCCCTGTGCCGGGAATCGATCCCCGATCCTCTCGCTTGCGAGGCGCGCTCTCTAAACACTGAGCTACAGGACTCCACGGTCAGATTGTCAGATGTTGTAAATGTGTCTTCTGGTTGTTTTCAGTGATGTGGGTTTGCAGTGTGTGGTATCCACAGCTCGTCACAAGCCAGAGGTGCCCGGATGGTTATCAGCTTTCACCGGAATTTGTCTGTGTTGGTGAGTCTCAAACTACACCTACAATCACAGCTGCTCCTCCTCTCTCTCCCCTCTCCACCCTCCTCCCTCCCCTCCTCTCTCTCCCTCTCCATCCTCCTCCCTCCCCTCCTCTCTCTCCCCTCTCAGCAAACCCATGTGTAACAAAGGCATGAGGTTCCAACCCCAGCCTTCCTTTCTGCTCCACATCCCGACAAGGACCGAATGTTTCCATCTCCACCTCATTGCCCACCTCCATCCGTACCTCACAACCACAGCAGCTGAAACCCTCGTCCAAGTCTTTGTCACGTCCCAACCGGACTATTCCAGTGCCCTCCGCGCTGGTCTCCCAGCTCCACCACACACAAAATTCAATTAATTCAAAACTCCTCACGGACCTCTGTGCCCCCATCACCCCAGTGCTTTCCAGGCTCCACTCGCTCCCAATCACTGAACGGATCGATTTCAAGATCCTCTCACTCATTCTCCAATCCCTTCAGGCCCTCACACTCCACCACCAGCTGCCGTCACTCGGCCTTCACTTGGCCGGCTCCAGCCTCCTGTTTGTCCCTCATCCACTCCGCTCCACCATTGATGGCTGTGCCTTCAGCCACTGATCCCCAAAACTCTGGAACTCTCTCCCTCAATCTCTCCGTCTTGCCCCTCCCTCCACACTTTCAAATTCCGCCTAAAAAAACCTTCCTTTTTAGCTTAGCCGAGTGTCTGACACATGAGGAAACCCATCACCATTGCTCAAGAGTATTCAAGTCAAATTTACCCCTCTGTCCTATAATTTGAAAATTTGCAGTACATATTTTGAGGATTTGGGGCTAAATTTGCTACAACACATTGTTTTGTTATTTCGCCCAAATATTTTGGGGCAATTTAGCATTCCAGAATAGGATTTCCTCTCCCCCCTACCCCCTTTACTCCTCCTTGCCCATTTGCGCCCTTACTTCCCCTTGGCCCCTTTCCTACCCCCTTGCCACCCTTACCCCCTTTCCTTCCCCTTGCCCCTTTTCACTGCTTGCACCCTTTCCTTACCCCTTGCCCCCTTTACTCTCCTTGGCCCCTTTCCTCCCCTTGCCCCCTTGCCCTTTCCCCCGTGCCCCAAATGCCCTTTGCATCCCCCGATTCTCCTGTACCACTTGAGGTCTTGCCTTTGGTGTGAGGCTGAGTGAAGGGAGCTCTGTTAACCCAGATGGGCACAGGTGGGCTGGTTGGCATGTGAATACGATCGAGTGTGTTCATGGGTACTGAGTGCGGGATTCCCGTCGCATGGCAGTGCGGGCATGAAGTGAATTGGCACGTGATTGGCATCTCAGTGTTTAACAGCGGGCATATTTGTACAGATATGTATCGATATACAGCAAACTGGACGTTGCTGCATTTTCCCAATGGTCGAAGGGCCATTCCGCTCATCGTCCTGTGGAGCAGTGGTTAGAGCACTCTCTTCACAAGCGAGAGGTCCCTGGGTTGATTCCCAGCCGAAAGCTCACTCAAGTTTCCTTACTCCACACACACACCTCTGTTTACCAAGCACTAAGGAGCAACTCAGTTCTTAGTCAATTCACCGCGCCCTGTTGATTTACTTTTTGGTCCGTCTTTTTAAAATTCTCATACATCAGCAAGACCCGACAGAGGC